ACTTAAATGCACATGTGCACATGCTAACACTCATATGCAGTTAAACACATTGCACTTAACTGCTGGCATGCACACACAGACACTCGTGCACACTTAAGCCCACGCACACGTAAGCACATGCACATAAATGCTGCAGGCACACGTAAGGCCTGTGCTCTTCTCTGGCTACTAGGGCGCCAATCACCCTTCTGGCCTGAAGCTGCTTCACCATAGCCCAGCTACGAGTGCAGCATGGAGCCAGCTCTTACCCAAGTGGCTCACCCAGGGGGTGCCAGTGCTCCCGGACCCATCTTGCCTAATTCCCTGAGCATCAGAGCAGGTCCCTTAGTCCCCCAACTTTGGTTCAGGGGGATAGATGCAGCTATCTGCCCATGGTGGACACCCTGCCCCATGGAGCTGCTGAGGACATGTTCCATGGCTGCATCATGTTTACCCTTTGGAAGTCATGGGCCTCTCACATCGGGTTCACTCATTATGGGTTCTGTTTAAACAGTCCTTTAATTAGCACAGTACATTCTGGAGTATGGTCAGGCAGCCCCGGCACCCAGTCCTTCCGTCGGCAGCCGTGTACCCTCAGGCTCCAGGCCAGCCTGGGTTCTGAGGAGTGCCAGGGTGCCTGACGGGAACATTGTGCCCTCAACAGCCCCCTCTGCCCCGTCTCTGTTCAGATGGCTGGGCCTGGCTCAGGGCTGCTTCTCCAGCTTCCAGCCTCCCCTGTTCTCTGTGCCCAGCCCTGCCTGTCCAGCCCACCCCCTTCCCAGTTTAACCAAGGGGTGGGGGCTCACCCCATCTCACTAGGATGGACCCAAGTGCACTCAGGCTGGCATGAGAGCTCGGGCTGCACGCACACCCTGAAGAGCTTCCAGGGGGCAGGGCGCCTGCCAGGCAGCGGTCCCCGTGCACGGCCAGCAGCTGTGCATGAGACAGAGCCAGACTCCTCGCCTCACGTGTCTTTTATTTTACAGATTAAACAAATGGAGACAGAAGAGGCTCGGTTAAAACACGAAGTCCAGGATGCTAAGGACCAGAACGAGCTGCTGGAGTTCAGGATCCTGGAGCTGGAGGTGGGTGGACTGTGGCCAGCTAAGGACTCCTGCT